AAAAAAAATGGGAAAGGCATACAGCTCTCATGCCCTTGCCTGCAAGCAAAGACCACGTGGTGAGAAAGACAAGACGGTGCCTGCTGGAGCCACCACCTGGAAGACTCGAACTCCCTGAGAACAGAGAAAGCAGCCGGACAGCAAACGTGGCCGCAGTCTTACATTTTAGGGAAAATTTAAGCAGATAACATCTTTTCCCCTCTTCATTTGTAACAGTAAAGGCTGAGGATTTCCTGTTTTGCCAGAGAATGTGAGGAATAAACAGGACTCTGTGTGTGACTGTAAATTGGTCTCATCTTTCTCAAGAGAAATTGAGTAAAATGTTGCAGAAGGCGTAAAAATATATATGCACTTTGCTGATCTCTCCTAGAAATTCCTCTTTACATGTGTGCCAGAATACATACAGAGAACTGTGTGTAAAGAACGGTGTTCAGCAGCAAATGCTCTAAATAAGCGGAATATCCAGCAACTGGACAGAAATTGTTTCATGTACGGTTAAATTGGGAATCAGTCAACTGAATGTCATGTTCTCACACATTAATGCCCTAGAGGAGCAGCTGCTGTGTAATAAAAAAAAATTTTTAAAGGTAAAATATTTTACAGTACTAGCTTTGTTTTAAAATACCATGTAAATGTACAAAAAAACACTAGACAGAAATGCACAAAATCTTTTGTTATTATATTTGAGGAACACATACTGAGTAACTTTTTATTTTCTTTGCATATATTTCTGCATCTATACATTTTTCTACAATGAGTGTAACCAAATAAAGTTGTAAAAATAAAAAAAAAATTAAAACAATTAATCAATCAACCAACTAGTCAATTGAACAGGCTGGGGATCTAACTCTGGCCCTGGGCTCAACCACCAATAATGAAAAAAAAGATCCTAGGCAAGAATTAGAAAGCATATCCAATTTGTATATATATATATATATATATATATATATATATACACCCAGATGTGATGGGAGAATTAATTCTCAATGTGAAGAAACACAGGAACGATGGGCTGTGTTACATGGTGCTACAGGTTTGTGGCTGTGTTTAGGGGAAGAAAGTCTAGCTAGAGACTTTTCCCTTATTTAATGGACACCAGACTTCTCCTTTTTAGGGTCTTTCATTATGCAGCCCAGGCTGGCCTCAAACCACAGGGATCCTCTCGCCTCAGCTTTCTCAAGTGCTGGGATTATAGGCATGTGTCACCGGCTTTGGAGGGCAAAATTTTTTTTAAAGAGAATACAAAATAGTAATAATAAAAAAGTTTAGAAATTACAGAATTTCACTAAACAAAATAATATGAACTTGACAGTATTTGTTGAATTGCATAGTGTTGTCTTCAACCTAGTTGTTTAGATTACCAGATATATGCATGCAATATTGGAAAAAGAAAAAAAATGTAAGAATTTAAGAAAAGGGAAAAAAAATGAAAAAGAAAATTTAAGCATTAACTACTCCTTTCCACAGACAGCAGAAATCCACAGTACAATTATCCAAGGCACCCTGCATACACACACATTTATATCTCTTTCCCCTCTAAAGGACAAATGTTTGCCCCTTTTCGTCTTCCTGTGCTGACAGCCCCATCACTGATTCCTTCTCTGTGTTGCCGCCTGCACTCTACACTGTTATCAGTTATCATCCATGAACTAAATGTGACAGTGCAGGGAAGGCAGGGAGAGCCTGAGGTGCAGACCCACCCTCAGGGAAGCAGCCAGGCCTTTTCAATGTGACTCCAACACTGTGACAGGCAGCTAAGTCAGAGAGAAACTAATGTGCAGACAGTGGCCAGCTCACAGAAAAGTCAATGGAAATGGAAGCCATCAGAGTCGTAGCTGGAGGCGCATCTGAAGATGACCAGGCCTCAGGAGAGAGTGCATGCTTCCCCAAGGGATGAGCAGAACTACACAGTAACTAGCACCCCCAACTCCATTAAGTCTAGCTGTGCATTAGACACCAGGGTGTGTGTGTGTGTGTGTGTCCCATCCCTTCCCAACAATGTTCCTGTTTTTAAAATTCACAGATAAGCTAAGGTGGATGATGTCAGCCATATGCCCTTGCTACCTGGCCCCCTTCCCTATCAGATCACATTAGCTAAGCGACTTACTATAATCTTACTGTTGATCACAGTTTGACCCACATTGTACCTACACGGTGACTATGCTGTATAAATTACTCTTGCCAAAGGGCCTCGGTGGTGACTCATGCAGGACCTTCCCTCCCCCTACTCTCAGAAGCTATTCCTATTCCCCAGTAAACTCCTCCTACTCGTAACCTCCTCTGTCCTTCAAATTCATTCTGTGATTTCAGGGGACATGGACTCGCTCGGCTGACATCTGGCAGGTCGGGTTCCACTTCTCTGTCAACACCACAGCACACAAAGGCAGAGCTGATGGCAACCATCTCCCAGCAGCCACATGGGGTGGACAGTGAAGGAGGCAGTGCCAGATGTATGAGCAGCTCCTGCCCCAAGGATGACCTGAGGAGGCTGCAGCTCCCTGGCCACCCCAGGCTCTCACAGAGAATCTGAGATGTCACCAAGGAGCCCGCTCCACCTGAGACTGCAGCACCAGTGTCGTCACTACTCTCCTGGAACCAAGGAAAACAAGAAGCTGGAGGATGTTAGTCACAGCAGCAGACAGGAGAGAGGCCAGGGCTGCTCACCACCTCCAAGAGGACCCTTCTCAAAGAGAGGGTGAGCAGGAGCCAGAAGGAGGGCAGTCAGGGAGACCAGACAATGGACTAGAGACACCAAGGCAACTGTGTCAACAGTGAACTCAGGGAAGACAAGGAAAACCACCTTCAGAGAGACTCAGGCCCCCATTCCTAGCCACCCCAAGGAGCTGCTCTGACAGACACCCACATAACAGCTCCTATCAGCCAGTCCACACACTTCCGGAGCAGCAGCATTTCCTGTCCTCTGAGCAACTGCCACATCTGGGCATGTGACCCTGGCCAAGCCAAGGTGCGCACCTGATTCTCAGGCCAGGCAGGTGCATCACACAGAACCATCATAGCCAGGTACAAGAATTACTTCAGGACTTTTGCCAGCACCACATGAAAGAGGAAGCAGGCTATTTCTATGGAGTCCCTGGACTAAGAGTCCTCTGAAGACCTGAGACTGTAGGCAACATCCTGTTGGGCAGTCTACTGGACAGGAGAGAGATTCTGACCAAAGCATCTGGACACAAGGCAGCCAGCCTTATTCATACTGAGGTATACCCCTACATCAATAAGTACCTTTCTCAGCTAATGCCAGTTTGAGTAACATTTCCATCATTTAAAGTTTAATAATGATTTAAAAAAAACACTGAACTCTTCATTTTCCTGATTTTTTTTTCTTGGTTTATAAATCTGAATCTAAGACAAAGCTAGTGATGACCATGAGAAGAGGTACAAGAAAATGGGAATAATCCTATTTATTTATTTTATGTATTTAGTACAGGGTCTACAGAGTCTCATTACACAGCTTGGACTCATAGTAATCCTCCTGTTTTCAGCCTGCCAAGCACTATAATCACAGGTGTGCACCACCATGCCCAGTCTCAATCACTGTCTCAGCACGCCCCGGGGCCAGGGCCCAGCATGGCAGGTTGGGATTGAACCCCGGTCCCTGCACCTGCCTAAGTAGGCACTTGAATCTGCTGGGCTGTCTGGCCAGCCCGATTCTATTTATTTTTCATAAAGATCTAAACTGGTACTAACAACCAGATATTTTAATACTCATCATTTAAACAATGGCCACTAAATCATGGTCATTTTGGAGAAATAGTTACATAATTACAAGGGGACCCTAAAAATGTATCCATTTGTATTGCCTTATGCATTAAACATAATTTCATATGATACCTTTTAAAATAGCTATGGTTCTATGCAAGCAGTTAATAGTGGGTTTTAATAAATTACACTACATAAAGTTAGATGCAAAATGTTTTTAGCAGATACACATCAAACTGTTTGTCTTACTATAAAAGAAAATAACTTGACCTATGCTCTACTTTCACCGAGAATTTATAACAACTCCATATATACTGCCATTAAGCTAAAAAAAATCGTATCTACTTTTCTGTAGCATAGCATAGCCTAAGTATTTATGGTCTACTGCCATTAAGTTAACTAACTGAAAAGGAAAAGAAAAGACTTCAACAGTTTACTTACATCACAATTACAGCCAAAGACTCCATTGGAAAAGGAAATCAGGTTATAGGATTTGTCTCCCCAGCGCACTGCGGGATCTCCGGTAAGGACCACGGCAAGTATCTAAAGAAAGCGCACGTTTCCATGTTACAGAGGCAGCCGAGTCCAAGCCCCAGAGCTGCCCACCCAAAAAGCACGCAGAGGGCGGGGCCCATTGACACTGGCTCAAGTATGTATGCCTTAAACACTTACATCATTCTCCTCACCTTTTCAAATCAAGCCAATTTAATAAAATGATATCATTATACTCAAAACATAGTAACTCTGGCCACAACTTTAGTTATTTCTCCAATCTCAACTCACAAAAATCTTCCCAGAAAAGAGAAACCTGGTACATCATTTGTGAATGTTTAGAGAACATGCAATTGAAAACAGAAAAGCCTTTTATAATTTAAACGTAGAAGAGGCCTTGGTGAGCTGAGTCACGAAAAAGTTAAAAGGTAAATTTCTTTAAAAATACACATTTCATTTAAATGGCAATGGAATACCCATCTCTAACAAAACTAAACAAAAAAGGGGATACAAAGGAAGGACCATTTTGTATCTGTATGTATAAAATAGCACAGATATACAGCTACTTTCTCTTCTTTGTACTAATAGTATTTGGACAGGATATCGTGTCTGCATCTTGTACTATATAACCACTAAGATGATAAGAATATGCAATGTATTAGTTATTGAAACTATCCTATTAATTGGTTTTGAAACTGCCTCACTGATACCTGTTTCTTAATAAAATTAATAAAATAAAAAATAAAAATGCACATCTCACACAACCTGTCTGTCAAACTAGATTTGCCTCCTTCATGACTTATGAAACAATTTAGCATACCACAGTTAACACCCTAACAAAATATAAAACAGAATGCAATGAGGAGAGCACACTACAGACTGTTTCATGAGGCTTCTATTACGTATACTCTGCGTACACACGCGGGCCATGTGTGTACACCAGGGAAACGAAAACGAACTGTTTCCAAGACACTATTCACTACAGTAAGAGACACACTGCCACTAACCCTCTCAAAACACTCCCTAACCTGCTCCGAGCACACTAATTCATTCCTGCAACTTTCTAAAGCAGTTCTGGAAATCTAGTATCTTTGCAAGGTGTGCCTGAAAATATGGTGAACACTGCTGTCGAGTGTCACTCAACAGAACACCAAGCTTGTGGCCTCATGACACTGTCCTTTTCCACCCTATGCACCTTTCTGCCACTTCCCCAAAGTCAAAATGGCCACGGGAGGTAAACGCTTTGAATCAAATCAGGACCCTGAAGGAGCCAGGACAGTGCAACTAGAGACATTCAGGAAAGAGGACTCCAGAGCAGTTTCAGAAAGCCCCAAGGGTGATGGGACAGTGTGCTGGGAGTGGGCAGGAGGGCTCTGGGGGTGACTGATGACAAGATGCCCTTTACTGTAATATTTCTTTTAATTTAAATATTCACCATTTTTCTGTCAACCTTGTATATAGTGAGCTACAATCTAATTGTATCTCTAAGAACAGATAGCTAACAAAGTTTAAACAATTCTGCATTAAAATACATTCTTAAGCAGCATTCTGCCCTCCCACCGCAAAAACATAGCTAAAAATGTTGTTTTCTAGCTACACAATTTTTATCCTAAATTATTTTTCCTATCATTTACAATGATGAATCTATTAGGAAATAATTCTAAGTACTTTCAAAAGACTATGTTGCCAGGCAAAGCTTGCCTTTTATTGCCCAGGAAATGAAAACACCAGACCGCAGAGGGCCAACAAAACGGTCTCCTTGCCCTGGAAACGCACTGCAGTCTGTGCTCAGTGGTTTCCTTATAAGGAGACATTCCCACGGGCAGGCAGGGAGGGGCGGTGCACTCCTGGTCCTGGGCACACCTTCCCTGCATGCAGCCAGCGAGAAGGCAGACACACTGGCGTGTGACACGCCAGCAAGCTGTCCTTCTTCACCCCAGGTGGGGACTATACCTGACTGCGTGGCAAGGACTTACAGAGCAATATTTCTTTGTGTGTAAGGTTCAGTTTGATACATGTGTTTTTTATAGCTGAGAAAAATTCTAAAAGCATGACTATAAAAAAATAGAAGAGGCTCAATATACATAAAGAGTCCTCCAGCGCCAGGGAGACATGCTCAGTGGCGTAAGTGCCTGCCTGGCAAGCTCAAGGTCCTGAGTTCAATCCCTGGTACAAAAAAAAAGAGTCCTTCAGAGAAGCTTGTTAGGACATGACAGAGCAAGACAGTCACCTGTGAGTAATCCTCCGGGGTGACATGAGCACTGCTGTCCTCCAAGGAATACACGAATAAACTGCTCTGAATTCTTTCCAAAGAAGTCAAGTTCTCCGGATCAAGACGGATCAGATATTCCCGGGCCTACAGGGAAAGGAGATGATGACTAAATGCTACAGTTTAAGGACAGTACACCCAGAACATCCTACAGAGTTTGTCGAAGATTAGGTCTGTTAGGCAGAGCATGGTTCCTACATTGGCCCACCGCGTCCTCTCCTCAGTGGTCAGCGCAGCGACTCCAGGGCCAGGAGGCTCTTGGTGGCACTTCTCGTAGATGTACGTCAGCTGTCTGAGGAAGATGAGAGAGGGGATTTGGGAGGAGCACAGGAAGACACGGGCTGCACCAGCCTTTCACAGTCATGTGGATTCACGTGCACGTCTTGACACACTCCCCAGAGAAGCAGATTATGACCTCAATAGCAGTTTATTTCATTCCTGCACCTCATCTTTGTAAAAGTGATTATGCGTTTGCCTTCAATACTTCCCACTCACTCTTACACTGCTATTTGGTTTCCGTGCTACAGAAAGTTGGGGTTTAAACCCAGGACCTCACTCATGGCAGGCATGTCCTCTACCACTGAATCACCCCCAGCCCGTGAAGGCATCAACCCGTGCTTGTGTCACCCCCAGTAGCCGCCACAGCCTAACTCCATCATACTCACTCGGTGAAGATGGCTGAAGTGTTCGAGCTGCTTTCATTTCTGTAACAGGTTCCACTGTGGTTTCCCTAGCCTCACCCCCAGGGGACTTTCACTGCCCATCTGCCTTCCTTCTACTGCCAGCTACCTCCTTTTCTAGATTTTTGTCACTGGCCTTCCTGGACTATTAGTAATCTCGTCCACTACTTTCACACTTCCATTACCACCATTCTCTATCATCCAAACAGTGTGTGTCACAAGCTAAAGCAAGCCCATGGATCACAGGCATTCAATTTCTGCAAAATTGGCTTTGGGCAATCCCATTAGTAAGCCTGATCCAATAAATGATATGAAATTTGGGTAAATCCAATTCAAAAATATAGCAAATATACACAAATTACAAAAGCAAAAGACCTAAAGGGTTAAGTCTGCCTACAGTAATGCATAATTTCCAAAAAAGTTACATGTGCACACATGCACGCAGTAGGTGTTCGTGCTCTTTTGTCCCATGAAGAACTGAACACACGAAACAAGCAGCAGTGATAGATTCTGAGCAGGGGGTGAGACTGGTCTTGCCTGCAATGTCTTTCTTTTCTCCAAGTAACAGACGCTTATAACATCTAGTAAAATTAAGTTAAAAATAAAATAGAACTAAAAAAGAACATAGAAGGCTTCTCAGTTTTCTGTGCCCTTATAGAAAGATAATTCTGAGCCTTTATCTGCTAACCTAACCCAAAGCTAACACGACTCAAAGAGGTCATGTGCCAACCTGAGCAGTTCTGGCGGGGTGAGCAGACACCCTTCACACAGCGCCTCAAAGACGAACACGCGGCCCCGGCACAGGACAGAGATGTGGCTGGGGGATCGCCCCTCGCCCTCTAGGAGACAACAGGGAGGAAAAGGCTGAGACACACAAGTGGGAGGAATGCCCACACATCCCAGAGTGATCAGCCCTCCACTCACCAGCATTTACTCATCACTGTAGCAACAAGGAGAACCTCAGGGGACAGGGCAAGGCCATTCAAGGGCACTAAGCGACCGTCCCCAAGAGGTGAGTTGCAGCTCGCTGGTCACTGCACAGCAGGTGATTACAGACAATCCCATGGGGTTAGGAGAGTTAGCAGGGAGAAAACAACAGATGTGTGAGGAGACTGGCAGCTTTACCCTGGCACAAGTGTACGCGCACTGCCTGGTGGCCCCTCAGCATGGCACCGCTGGCGTTGTGCATCAGTTCAAACACAAAGAACATCACCTTGTTAGGGTCCCATCTAGAAATTCAATAGTGTTTCCAGTACTTGCACATTCTGAGCATCAATCAGACAAGCCCCAAACCACTGCAGGCTTCCCAGTTTTATTTCAGACAGGAATGGGAAGGGGAGGAGAAGAGGGCTGGAGGAACCCTGAGGGGCAACTACAGGAAAGGACACATTTCTGGCTTTAATATTGGCTGCTCATCAGATAAGTTTACTATAGCAATGGCTAACGGTGATTCTCGAATGAAGGAGTTTCTAGCCCAGAAGGACGATGTCCGCACGCGAGGCGAGGAGAAAGCTCTGGGCAGTTTATAGCTACACACCAGGCTCTGGCAACACCTGCCGGGTCCCTGAGGATGGAGTCTCTGCCTTCTTGGCACCCGCTGAACTCTGCATCTGCTGTACACTTCAGACTAGTCTGAGTCAGCCGTCTTGTTAAGCTCTCCACCCTGTGTCGAGGGCCTCTGAAGGGGGATGAAATGTTCACCCAGCTCTCCAAGTAGTCTCTTGACCGAGATGAGCCTCGGCCCCAGCACCCTGCAGCCCCTCCACCCCGCCCCCAGGTTCTACAATTTTCTTCTTATCAAGACCAATTCCATGGTTCAACATTACAATTCTTCCTTGGGACCTGGGGAGATAGCTCAGTGGTCTAAGCACCTGCCTGGCAAGCACAAGGTCCCAGGTTTGATTCCTGGTACCGCATGCCATGCCAGGGTACACTATGCCAGCCCAGGCATGAGGGGGCACACTTGTAATCTCAGTGCTGAGGAGGCTGAGACAGGAGAATCACTATGAGTCAGGAGGATCACTATGAGTCTGAACTGTGTAGTAAGACCCCATATCAAAAGAATTAAAATAAAAATAACAATAATTCTTCCTTGGAAAAAGCCCTTAAATCTTTACCCTCTTCTCCTCTACACCTAGCCCTAAATGTTACTTTAGAAAATATAGTAGTCCCTTGCTATTTCGCAGTTTGACTTTCACAGATTCACTGTTTTGCAGGTTTTAAAAAAATATTAATCTGAATTGCTTATCGTACATTTTTCACTATATCACGGGATTTTGCAAGACCATATGATATGTGTATGTTGTTAAGATTACATAGGTTTACGAATTTAGAAAATGGTTAAGAACATCAGAAGTGTTTTGGTGAGCCCCATAGCTCAGCAGACTAAAGCACCTGCTTAGGCAGAGTGCAGTGGCCGGAGTTCGGTCCCCAGCTTGCCAGCTTGCTGTGCCAGCCCGGCCCTGGGGTGTGCAATGAGACGGCAACTGGGACTGGGTGTGGTGGCACGCACCTGTAATCCCAGCACTTGGGAGGCTGAAAACAGGAGGGTCACTATGAGTCCGATCTGTGTAGTGAGACCCTGTACTAAACACATTAAAAAAAAGTGTTTTGAAAAGTGTGGGAAAGGTTTATAAGGCTGTTGGTTTTATAAAGTCTTAAAACATTCATAAATACTAAAATAAATACAACATCGCTACTTTGCTGATTTTCACTTATCCCAGGGGCGTCTCTAAGCTAACCTCCACGATAAGTGAGGAACCACTGGAAATACATCACCTAGTCTATTTTATGTACTCTTTAGGGTTCTGGAAATGGAGCCCAGAAACTCTACACTGAGCTACCCTCCTATCCCTAGGAATTTATGAACACATATCTCAAGAGGCTGTGATGGCTGAGATCCGCAATGTCCCCCAAAGGTCTATGTTCAGAGGTGCGGCTTTGGAAGGTGACGGAGTCATGAGGGTCTCTACTCATCAGTGGACTGATCCACTCAGGGGCTCACAGTGGAATGTAGGGCCAGGCCGGGGGCCTGACTGGCAGAGGCGGTGCTGAGCCACATCTGGGAGGCTGGGCCTCCTCCTGGCACCCCCCACGGGATGAGCTAATTCTTCTGCCAGCCCTTCCGCCATGTGTTTCTCTCTTGGAGCCAGCCGACCATGCCCTGAATCTTCTGGCCTGAGAGCCAAATTAAATGTCTCCTCCTGTAAGCTGTGTGTGCTGGAAGGTGAAAGGTGACCAACACAGGGGCACTGGGGGCTGCAGAGCAACCCCACAGTCCCCAGCACGTATGCTTTTCCCACTTTCCACAATGCCTGTTTCAACCTTTATCCTCCAAGCCTAAAGCATGCTTCACTAAGGACAGCCACGTACATGCCTTCTTCGTCTCCACAACAAACCTGGCTCATCTGTCCGAATGCGCCACGTACCTTCTGCCTTCGCTCCCCCCCCCCCCTTACTTCTAACAAAGATTACCCTCCACTACTGCTTTTGGCCCTCCCTGTTCTTATCTTCTCAAAGGCTCTGGCTGATCATCTTCTCTTATGCCAGATGATTTTCCTTCTCTCACAGTGTATCACCCCTACGACATAACATCACCTATCTTCTTAGCTGAAGTTTGAACCTCCTGTTGAACATTAAAAGGTTTTCTGCTAGCATTATTTGTAAATATTACCACTTGATTGACTTTTATCTGCTCTGAATGGACTTCCTTCCCCTAACTTTGCTCTGGTCCAGGGCGGCCACTAGCCACATCACGCTGTCAAATCCAAAGGTCACAGGTGCACCATTTTTAACCTCTGCAGGACGAGATAGAACACTTCCTTCTCTGGGGTGCAGGAGATGGCTGTTCTTGTTTGCTCCCACCCTCCCTTGGCTTCTTTTGGCTGTTCTTGTTTGCTCCCACCCTCCCTTGGCTTCTTTTGGCTGTTCTTGTTT